ACAGCAAACTAGTTTCACAAAGGAAGTTGCAAAAAATGGTCTTTCAATGATATTCCTGGAATTTACGATTCTCTATTTTTCTGCTGTCCTGGGTGGTGTCTACTGACATATGAGAGAATCACTGCCTGATGCATGTCCACAGAAATAAAACCTGTAATATGCGGAAAACCTTCTGGTATACTTCCTAGAGCATAAAAAAATTATTTGCTCCTTGTAGGCTGCCAAATATTATACCACTACACACTCCTTCGAGGGGCTAACCCTGAGAAACACAGTGTGTCGCTCCTATAAAGGGAACAACCTGAAATTTAAGAGCAGGGAACAATCTCATGTTGTGTTCTAGAGAAGCAAAAGGCAAAGAATAGCTAGTTTCTTAACTCCAAATTGCAGAACAAAAGTGGTTTTGTGAAGTATCATGGTTTGAGCCTGGTCAGCAGCTAAATGCCACGCAGCTGCTCACCCACCCTCCTTCCACACAGGTGAGGGCTCTGGGGCCTAGAGAGCCCCTGGGGTCTCAGTGTGCTGCAGCACTCCTCCAGCTACCTGCACAACCATGGAGAAGACAGGAGGAAACGGGATGGGAAACCCATCCACCTTCTAAGAGAGCGGGTTCGAGAGTTGGAAGGAAGAATGGCTACAAAACAAGGTTCTTCCAGGAGAAGTACCGCTCCAGTCTCCGCTAACCAGTCTCCGCGCAGAAGAGTTGACTTCGCTCCTGATCCTATGAGGAGAACTTCTGAGTCGTACTTACAAGAAGTGAGTAACCAGGATGAGACTGAGATTCACACAGACCACACTAACCCCTTCATCGATAATGGATACTATGAGCAGCATTAGAGGGGCCCTGCCTCCAGACAGGTGGAAGAGAGGGACAACTGTGTTTACTGGATTGTGTAGATTCAATGGCCTGGCACATCTGACCCCAGGAGTATAAGGCTCTGGTGGACACTGGTGCCCAATGCACCCTGATGCTGTCAAATTTCCAAGGAACAGAGCCTATTTGTATTTCAGGAGCAAACGGTTCCCTACTCAAGCAAGATGATATACACCACGGGGGAACCTATGGTATTACCTGCGCAAGGATGACATGCAAACTTGTGAAGCGATCCATAAATAGGACTGGTTTCAGCAACTGATGCCCAGCGACTGCTGCAGACTGTGAATACAGACAGCATCTGATGCATCAGCCACCAGCTCCAACTGCAACAGAGACTGCATGCCATCCTCCTGCCAGGTCCAAGGACACCTGTGCCCTACTAACTGAGCATCGCTCCTCCTGCCTGAAGGGACTATTCCGACAGATGGAACCTGAAGCTATGGACCAAATGAACTCACAATACATTCTGCAGTGATGGCCCATGGACTGAGGGAATGGTATCTGTTTGCACATGTCTATGACCAAGGAAGAGGATAGTAATTAATTAGAATATATTTGAAATATGGAACGTGAGGATAACATAAATGATATGGAATAAGGGGTGTATACTGTCCTGGTTCCGGCTGGACTAGAATTCCTGTTGGTTTGGCAGCAGGAGGAGTGCTGCAGCACACTGAGACCCCAGGGGCTCCCCAGGTCCTAGTGCCCTCACCTGTGTGCGGGGGCGGGGGGAGCACAGCTGGAGGGATGGGCCCCGATTGGCTGATATTCCATGTCACGTGACATTGTGCTCACTATATAAAGGCAGGAGTGGGCCGGGAGGGGCGGCCACTTCTGGGAGTGTGGCCGCAGCATCTGCGTGTTTGGGATTGCCAGCCGGGAGCAGGTGAGTGTCGGTTGGCATGTGGTAAGGAATTGCATTGTACATTACCCGTTTATACTGTCACCGTATTATTCTGTTACTAAACTGTTTTTATCTCAACCTGCGAGTCTCCCTTTGCCCCTCCGATTCCCTCCACATTCCCAAGTCGGGGGAGGGTGGGTGAGGGGCTGCGTGGCGTTTAGCTGCTGAGTAGGCTCAAACCATGACAAAAAGTTAGAAACAACTATCAATAGCAAGAGGTGAATAAACACTAACAGCTACTCTTGACAGTATTGCCAAAGCCTCTTAAACACTGAATGAACATTTCAAGACAGAGCAACAATTCAAGTTCTAGTTGTTCCCATGTGTTGAGATTGTGTCTGTGTTTTCCTGAATTTGGGAAAGATGTGAGCTCAGAACTCACGTGTAAAATGAGAGCACAGCGAAATGGCGCATTGTTGTCAGTCTTTTTGTGAAGGATAACAAAATATTAAAAACCACAAACAAACAAACAATTTTATGGATTACATCAAAGAAAACAGTCAAGAAGCCTCCATGGAAAGTAAGCTTAAATAGGCTATGAAGCATCTGATGGAGATTTAAAGTCCCAAGACTTTGGAATTCCAACTTCTCCTGGATTTACCCTTACAGAAACATCCTTTCCCATCATAAGACCGGTACAGCACCCAGATTATCTCAGAAACAATCAATAAGTCTTGTTTGTAACTGAGGATGGACTGTTTTAAAGGAAACACACAGAAAAATATTATTTATTAAGCATGATTAAAGCTTGATTTTTTTCCCTATACCATATTCTTCCAAGACAGTCCATCCCAAACCAGTCACACTAGATCAAAAACTGTAAACTGTGAATGACATACACAGATCTGAAACAAGAATTACCGAGTATTTAATTTCTAACGATTTCCTGATTTCCAGCAAAATTAAGTCTCCAATCAAACCTCTTTTTCACAAAGTTGGAAAAGCACACCTGCTGTATTAATATGAGTTACTCTAACCCTATGACTAAAGTTGAATAAACCAAAACATCTGAAGTGTAAAGGAAGAGGAAAATCCCTAAGAAATTGAGACAGATGAGATTTTTACTGAAAATATATCACAAGGACACAGTGATATATGTCATTTTTAATCTCACAGGGTTCTCATGGTTTCACTCAGGTATATATGTGCACTCACACACACACACACCTTAGTCTACATTCACAATACGAAACTGCTAAAACTCACACTCACTTGATCAAAACAGACGATTATTTCTGTTTTTTCCAACTAAGTATGTCTAGAAAGAACAAACACCAATGAATCTGCTTCAGAAGACAATATTAAGCCTGGTTTTGTTAGCAGTCACTCTTTCTAAAAGCATCAACAAACATCCAAACAAGGGAATGTAATTTTCCCTGTTATAAACAGAACCTAACACAATAGAAGAATTTGTGATATAGCCTCCATCAAAAACAGAAGGAAAACTATATTCAAATTTTGTCTTAACTGCTCAAGGTCTGAAATGTCTTTTCAGTAAACATCACCATCTTTTATAACAGTCCACGAACTTACCATTGAAAAACACTAAAGAGCAACACATGCTATCACTTTCATATTTTTAACCTATTCAGACTCAAAAAGTTTGCATTCTAGTACCTCACTTTCTAAAGAGAGTATCATAGATACATGCATCACATAAGAAACTTACAGATGGCATAATCCCCTAACATCACTAACAACAATTCAGTAAATAATGCTCATTTCAATCACTATTGTTAGAAACTGCATCTTTACTCAGAGATGCAGCATCTCCACCGTCTTGGGAAAACATATTTTAAGGAGGGGGAGGGAGCGGTAAGAGAGGAAAGAAAGACACAGGAAGAATTTGGTAGCCTTACTTAATTTTAACTTAAAAATAATCTAGTGGATTCATGGAAGACAATTCTTTAATACAGAAGCATGCATACTTGCATAAACAAGAAGTCTGCAAAACACTGTGATGGCACACTGGAAATCTGTCATATATACCATTGGCTAGCACCAAACTACCAACTAGAAGCCAACATAATTAGCCACAAATACTGAATTCTCCTATAAGGTTTCTGTCAAAACATTTTAAGATCAGATAAACCAGCAAAATTATACATTAGATAAAATAGAGAAAATGGAGACAGGTGCTGAATTAAGTTTCCAACATGGCAGAAGGTTACCCTTTCAGGTGACAAACCCTGATTTTACAGAGTACTTCAATACTAGTCAAAGCACCTTATCCACTGGTAAGAAATTACAGAAAAATCAAGCGACTTTTTCCTTCTGTTTCCACACTCCTATCTTCTTCCTGTAGAAATTCATTTCTTAGCTTCCAGCTCTCTCTCCACATTGCTCCTTTTGAGCAATTCTGTCCTGACACTCACGGCAGTAAACACAGTGGGACCAGGGCAAATACACACCACACGTTTCTCTGGTGGCCTCTCCTAACATCTCAAAACACGTCACTACATCAGCACTGGTTTCCCCTACCATAAGACAAAACAGAGATAAGGGAGGCAGCTCCCGGAGCTACCAGCAGACAAGCTACCCCTCAGCAGGGCCACGCAGGCTGCCTGCACAGCTCTTCCCCCAGGCCCCGCGCTGCGGCCCGGCTCCCCTCCCCGCCCGCCGGTCGCGACCCCTACCATCAACCGGGTCCTCGCTCCCCGCCCGCTCCCCCGGGCTGCCAGGCCGCACCGCCGCCACGGGGCGCCGGGGGAGCTGCGCCGGGCCTGACCCGCCGCGGCGGCCGACACGTCGGCAGGCCGCCCCGCGCCGCCGCCCACCCCAGCCGGGCCCGCCGGTGGCGCCCTGCGTGCCCGCCCGGCCCGGCCCCCCCGCTTCCGCCCGTCCTTCAGGCACCACCACCGCCGCCGCCTCCCTGCCCGCGCCCGTCGCCGGTTCGCTCCCGGCCCCGCGCGGCAGCAGGCCCCAACTCCGCGCCCGGAGGGGCGGCGGGGGAAGGCGGCCGGGCCCGCCGCAGGCCGCGCAGGGGAGCCGGGCCGTAACGGCCGCAGCCGCCTCCCCTCCCATGACACTGCAGAGCAGGGCCCGGCCGCCGCCCTCCGCCGCCGCGGCCTCCTTCCGCCGCCGGCTGCGCGGTCCCCTCTCCCGGCGGCGGCGGCGCCATGATGAGCCGCCCGAGAGGGCGCCGCGCCAGGCCCTAGCGTCGGGCCGGGCCCCGGGACGCACCCCCACCGCCGCGGCCTGGCGCCCCGCGCCGCTCACCTTCATGTCGGGACATCCTAGTCCGGAGGCGGCGGCCCAAGCCCCTCTGGGGGCTCCCGCGGGCTGCTCGGGCGCCGCTGCGGCCTGGCCCCCCGCAGCCGCCGCACGCACGGAGCCTCGGTGCGAGAGAAGAGGGGCCGAGGACCGAGCCGATAAAGGGGCAAAAATACAAGAGGCAGCGAGGAGCCGGCCTCCCTCCTCCTCCTCCCTCGCTCGCCCTGCAGGGGGGCGGATCCGGCGGCGGCTTCCCGGGCGCCGTGACACGGTGACTCTGGGCCCCGCCGGCAGCTGGCGCCGCCTCCCTCTCCGCTCCGCCCGCTGCCGCAGCGACGGATGGGGCTGGCGCCGCGCTGGAGCGCTCCAGGCCCCTTCCCCTTCCTCCCGCCCCGGCCGCGCTTCGGGAGGAAGAGGAAATACCCCGTCGGGGCGGTGGCCCTCCCGCGGGGGCCGCCGGGCCGCGGCTGAGGGTGGCGGCGGGCACCGCCGGCGGGGCGCCCCGAGAAGTCTGGCGGCGGGGCGGGTGCCGAGCGAGGAAGCGGCCAAGGTAACGGGGCTCGGCAGCGGTAAGGGGACCGCCGGGCCCGGTCCGAGCTGGGGGACAGGCGTTAATCACGCGTTTTCATGTAAAAGGAGGGGGGGGGGGGGGGGGGGGGGAAAGACTGGCAGAGACCACTGCGCATGCGCCGAGCCTATTTTTCAATAGCTGGTAGTGTTGCTCGTTCTGCCGAATGTGGGGCACTGTTCGCGGCCTTCTCCAGGGTAGGCATAGGGCTGATTTCTTTCTTGTTTTTCACCCTTCCTCCAGTGTCAGGCCTGGAGAGGACTCCTACCAGAAGTGTGCTCCGGCTCAGTGAGGAGGATGCCCCACGTGCCGTGTGTCATCACACTCCAAACAAGTGTCTCCGTCTCTTCACACCATGAGAACTTTTTTCCCCATCATGGATGTTTCTTGCCCTGTCATGTAAGCCGATTAGTCTTGAGATGAATGAAAAACCTGCGGCATGGCTGTGTTCCTTCCCTGTTTCAGATGTAGGGAGACACACATCAAGAATCTTGATTCTGTGCAGCCTTTCTTACTATAACTTCCTGGCCTTCCCACAGCTTTCATCCTGAATAACACCATCTCCATCACCTCTGTCCATGCTACTTACACCTGCCTTCATTTTCCTCTTAAGTTTTCATCTCATAGCCTGCTCATGGCATTCCTCCATCTTTTATCTTTGCCATTCCAATACCTCTATCTTCTTCACCATCTTATGCCATAGCCCCCATATGTCTGCCCCAGACCTGCAATTCTTGTACATTCACATTGGTGAAGTACCTCCTCAGTAGTCTGTTTTGAAGGCCATGAGGGCCCACATGCCAGAGCAGCCTAAGCATCAAGCTGCAGTGAAAGGCATGTGTGAACAATAAGTGTTGGAAGGAGGAAGGGCCAGCCTCATTCCTTGCTTGACCTCCCTCCCATGCCAACCATATTATATAGCCTCTGCTTCTTCCCCTTACATGCATGTGCACGCTTCTGTCCTCTGTACCCCAGCCACCTGCTTTGCTCCCATCTTTCCCTTGGCCACATGCAGTTTCATAAACACAGTGCCTACTGAGAGGGTAACGTGGATGCAGTCTGTCTAAAAGTTCAGTGGATTGTGGGCATTTTCACTGGAAGCAAGCAATACCTGTGCGTTGGACAAGCTGTAGGGGAAATGGGCGGTCATTTTGACTTATGAGAGTCAGTGGCTTCACTGCTTCTGAAAGCAGGGCAAGAATCCATGGCTATGCAAGGAGTTTGCAAGAAACATATCACAGATGACAAGAAACTGATGACAAATCTGCAACTGTCATAAAACTACCAGACCATGGAAGTGGTATGTCCAAGATAGATCTGGGCGCAAAACTGTGCCTATCTTGCCAGCATGTCACAGCAGTAGTGCACAGAGTGGAGCAGTGATTCATGTGTGTCCTACTGCTTCATTTTTGCACCAGCATTTTTAAATGCAAATGGAAGTTGTCTTATCCAGATGCAAAATCCAGACCATCAGGTGCTCTTGGCTGATGCTACCTTTCAGTCCCTAGAAGGGCAAGCTAGCCCGCAAGCTGGTAACTCAGCTAGCTAGCAATATCTTGGCTCTGCATGAAGCTGTGGTTCACTGTGGATGTAACTCTGCCTCTGAGCACTACCATGCTGTGTTGGCCCATGCTCAGTTTTATCCTGTTTCTGGAAGAGTGGCCTCCCCCAGGAGCTTTTTCCCGTGCATCTGGTTAAATATAGACTGCAACCCAGGCATTTCACTGGGACCTGGAAGATTTGACCTTTGGTCACAGAAGACCTTGGGCTAATCATCTCATCTCCATGCTTCAGTTGTAATATGGTTTTATAGCCTTTCCAGCCTTTATAAAGTGTTATTCACATGGATGTCCCTTGAGTGCACATGGTCCAGCACATGCTGGTGAGCCTCTTAGCATACAAATTTTCTGAAATAATCCCGGTAACTGTGGCAGCCAAGCAGAATTCTGTGGCCTCTTCTCCATCTTTGTAGACTCCAGTCCAAAGTTAAAACTGCAATCCTGTTATATAGTAAATGTTTTCTTGCCTTAAGGCCAGTATCTATACCCAGTGAGACAGTATAGATAAAAGCCTCGGTGCTTTTGGAATCACAGAATATGCCTAAATGTGTGTTATATCCTTCAGTTGGAATTTTGCTGATTATCTCCTCTGCAAATACAGGAAACGCTGCAAATGTAAGATACCCGGGCTCCCAGAGATATGAGCACATGACAACTGGCTGAGTGTGGAAAGAGGTGTGTAACAGAATTTGAAAGTTCTTTACAAGGTCATGCCCAACAATAGGAGCTATTCTAACCTTCTTAGCATTATGTTGGCAGTGTACTGCCCTTGTTTTGAACAATATTGTTTCTCATACCCACATGCTGTTATTCTACAGGAAGAATGAGAAAGATTTCAGTGAGGTTTATAAAGTTCTGGTGTGGATGGATCCTTCTGTCTCTAAGGGAAGAGCCTGCCATAATTGGGTTTCTCATTCTTTCTCTCCCATGCAGTAGAATAATCCACATGTAAGACTTGCTATAAAGCTATGAGGAAAAAAAAATTCATTGTTAGTATTTTCCTGATGGGTAATGCAAGCTGAGAAATTAAAATTTACTTTCCCAAGGTCATTCAAGGTCAGAGCCAGGCAAGGGATTAGAGACCCAGATCTCATAGCTAATTAGACCATTGTATAAGCCACAGTGAGAAACAGAAAAAGCCATGAATTTTCCCAGCATGAAATCATAATACGCTAAAATTTGTGCCTGGAAGTAATAAAATCCTCAGCATTAAGGAAGAGATGCTTGTGTGGCCTTGTGCAGTTCCTCTCCCTGACACTGTAAAAGGGTCCAGTGTCTGGAGCAGGGCTGAACAATTTTGGATACTAAACTGAGTAGTGGCATCCTATAGGAGAGCTCCTGATTGGTAAAATTTTCTTGAAATCTTTCACCCTTTGCTGGATACTGAAAGCCCACTGAAACTGTTTTTACTACCAGGCTGCATCCATCTGAGGAAGTGATCTCTGCTTCACTTTGCTTGGACTTGTCATTACCAAGGTTGGGTACTCCACTGCATGGAATACTAGCTCCTTGTTGGTTTGATGGTGCAGCTTCACACTTAGAGGTAAGATACGCTGTCACTGTAGTGGTATAAAACTTACATAAAGTAGTTGCTTGGATCAGTCTGGTCATCATAAGATAAATATGGAACTGTGAATGCATACATGCTGAAATGTTAAATTTGCACACTGGTAAATGTTCGGGCTCGCATTACACTTTCTTTTCTAACTGCTGCTTTTCTGCCTCCTTGCTCAGTAGTCATTCAACATGATACCAAGCTGATTACTGACTGTGTTCAGCATGATCTGTAAAGAAAGCTTTTAAAATCAGAAAGACAGTCTTGCTGCTTTATAATTAATAAGGACTGAAAGAATTTTGCATACCTAGTTTCTTCTGTTTTGTTTTGGTGTCTGCACCAAGGACAGCTCTTCTGGCATGCTAATGGACCAGGAAACACAAAGGCTTTGGGACTCCTGTGGCTGGATGCTATATAGGAAATGATATTTCCACATAAATATTCTTGTGAACTGAATGCTTCCATGTTCTCAGCCCTACTGATAGTGTCTTGCAATCCAACCTGAAGTGTCCAAAGCACTGAGAACAGCACAAGCAAACTTGGAGTCATCAGGAACATCAGATGGCTTTGATAAGTGGGTCTCATTTAGCACTTTTGCAGTGGAGTACAAGCATCTCACTGGAAGAGAGCAGGGCTTGAATTTTTAGCAGAGATATCCCTCCTGTGGGAACTGTATTTGGCTTTGCAGCTAAACTGAGCTAAGCACAACTAAATATGCAATAAAGTGTACATCATCAGTTCAAACTTTTGCTAGAACTCCTTGTTTTGAATGCTGGACACTGCTAGGATGTGCAATATCTGCTCATTACCATAAACACTCTTTCCTCTGCTGCTCAGATATATATTATGCACATGTTTCTCAAGGCCATGCTACAATACTGGTTCAAGCTATGAGCTAGGTTTTTATTACACTGGTTTTTTCTGCCCTTTCCTTTTCTACTATCCCCACCCTCTTTCAAAACAATACCTGCACTTACGCAGGTTCCCTATGAATTCAAATCCCTGAGTGACCCTACTTGACCTTTTTTAGTGCTGTTCTGTGCCTGTTCTTACAGTGAATGCTGCCATGTGATACAGGAGACAAGCTGCTCTTTGCAAAGAATAGTGGTTAATCTTTGGATCTATATGCCTCTTTTTCAGTAAAATTTAAGCCAATTGCTACCTTATGCCTAGACCTCTCAACTAACCTGCTGGGATCACGTGATGGATGGGATGCTATGATGAGGTGGTACAATGGAGTCACATACCCAAGTGTCCACAACTGGCCCAAGTTTTGTTGAGGCTGAAGGGGTCCTTTTCCTTGAGAGCCCTTGTGAGCAAAGGCACCTGTTAGAAGTAACTGCAAAATCTCATCAACTCCAGCACTACCCAGGCTAAGTGCAGCATGGCAAAGCATGGGAAAGCATTGCCCTGCACTGCTTCTATCTGCTATGCAGGCATGGACCTGAAGAACAGAAAGCAGGTGAAACTCCTGTGGTGACAGACTACTAGTATTTGTTGGAGTGGGAAAACATCTCTGGGTACACCAGGCATTTTCAAACATATGAGGAGATGTGGTTTCTTCTGTAAAAAGCCCATGCTATAAGGTGACAGCTGAAAGCTGACAGCATGGGATACATAGCCCAGGGGATGAGGGTCATGTCCTGGCTATGGCTGCTGAGTAACAATACTGCAGTAAAATGGGTTATATCTCATCTATCCCTTCTCTCCCTGTAAATTTTAGCCTGTATAGCTCAGACGAGCAGAGAGCTGACAATGCAGTAGCAATTAAGAAATTAGAAAGTCCATACAGACTAACCTGGAGGAATGGCACTGCTCTTACTGCAAATGCACAGAACGTCTGGGTGTGCTAGGTGGCTCTGTCTGGTTCAGCAGCAGGTGCCCCTCCTGAAATCATTTGCGGTAATATTTTTAGCCGTTCTTAGTGATGAATGAGTAGCGATTTTGGATTACTCCAGACCCAGTCATCCCTTATTTTCCCCTTCCTTCTTCAGTAACACAGAAGAAAATTTCAGCTCCAAGAGGGACCTAGCTATGTCTGAGACACTGCTAAAGACAAGCAGAATTCATCCACGTTTTGGAGTTTTGTCCAGACATCCCCTTCTAACAAAAAATTAGATCTCACCTAAACCAAATCTCTTTCATACATTTTCCTTCTGAAGGTCAAAAGCCAAGCAGTTTTCTATTTTCAATTTGCAAGTTTAAAATTTTTTCAGTTAAAGAATGATCAACATTGAAATTTGAAAATATGTTTTTAAAAGCAGGTGTTTCTGGTTTTCATTTGCCCATTTAAAATACTGAACACTCCTTTTAGTGTAGCCTTCAGCTGACTGAGGGTCTTTGCAGGCTAAACCTCTAAAGCAACAAGATGGCTGGCACTGCCACTCAACTGGTAGAAGAGTGTTGAGACAGTGCTGCAACGGGTTATATGCTTCAGAGCCTACCACACCGGCCATGCACCTGGGCTGCGGCTACCTGCAAATGGTCATTTTGGCTCATTTTGCAGCAGAGAAACTGTCAGTGCAAGAAGCAGCCAGCAGAACAAGTAAGCACCATATGCCATGGTGTACAGGGAGAGTATGTTTTCACTGTCCTCTAGGAATAAAATTCACATTCATGGTGTGGCTGGATCCTAGAGCAGGGACGTATGTGTGTAAGCAACTTGGCTCTGAAAAGGGAAGAAGGTTATCTACCTGCCACCTTCTTGTCCTGGTGACAGGCTTTGGCAGAAGGGGAAGGGGATGTACATCAACAATACAAACACAGCTCCCTTTTCCTATTCTTTTCCTCCTTTCAAAGCTTCTTGGTAGCAACACAAGCATTTATTCAGCTGTTCTTGGAGAAACGACTTGGACGACAGGACACATTAGGAAACCACTGAAGTAATTAAGCAAATACACCTATACAAAGCAACCCAAATCCAAAAGAATGAGAAACCCAAGTACAGCAAGACCTCTTCTGCAGTGGCAAGATCAAGGCTCATGAGCAGTATGGATATGGCAGCATTATGCCTGTCACCCTACCATTTCAGATAAGGGCAGGTGTACCAGAGCTCGTGTTACACACACAGGAAGGGGTAATGCATGTCCTGGCAGCTCAGTGCATACACACGTAGGAAGCAGCTGCACCCGAGTAGCCCTGGGTGCCCAAGCTGGCTTGACTAAAATCCCCGCACTGTGGTGACTACCTGCGACTCAGTTTCAACAAACCAGTGGATGAAGAAGAAAGGTCTGTCTTTGCCCTTCTTCACCGAAGTCCTCAGTCCTGCTTCCTGATGAGCAATACAGCCACTTTTGAACCTTCAGCAGCATGCTCGATTTCCTCAGTTAGGCCCAAGTCCTCCCCTGCCTTCCAAGAAGCGGGAGAAGGTCCTCTTGCCCTTCAACCCCTATTCATGGAAACAGCCAACAATAACCAGCACTTCATTACAGAGGGACCAGAGACACTTCCCAGCTTGTGAAGGTGCATGACTGTAGCACTCTGACTGGAAGCACATTCCCAAAAGGTATGAACTGACCACAAAATACACACTCTGAACAGAGGGGTTTAGTCACACAGTTATTGTAGAACACTGGGACTCAACAGAGTCCATATCTGGTACAAGGTGCCCAGTGCCAGAGGGTACATCATTTCAATTAATGAAAAATTGCTCTCCAATTAACACCAACAATTTTTAGTGAAGACGACCATTTAGTCCCTCCCAGAATACTGATGCTTGATCCCTCTGTAGTGCTATGCATTGATTTACTGAGCAGCTGCTCTTCTGTGTTTAATTAGCATGTATGAAATTAATAGTGTTGCATGGAGGGGTTGTCCTAGCTGCTTGCCTGCACATAGCTGGTGTCAGTGAACTCAGGGTGAATTTCACACTGCCATCTAGCGATGCATGTCCATTTTCCCTGCTAGGTACAGATCACCCCTATTTGAACACTTAAGCATTAGATAACATATTGTGGAGAAGAGCAGATTATTGTCTGCTTTAGGGATTTCTATTCTCTGCTTCAGATCTCATCCACATTTTACCTGTATTGAATAGGCACCCATAGAGTGTACTCATGTAAATGTAGAGAGTACTTTAAAATGGCAGTGTTATTCATGACTAGAATTATACAGACCAGTCTAGTCTGCCAGGGATTCTGGAAAGGACCTGTTACAAGACACATATAATGTAGTTTTTACATTCAAATGTAATTTTTTTTTTTTTACCCTTTGCTGTTAGAATATATTGTACCAAAAACCTGACAGTACAGACTTAAAGGGAGAGAAAACGTTTTCAACTTGAGATATTTAATAGAGCTGGTTATTTACAAGAAAAAAAAAATATTGAAGTATATTTGACACCTGTCAACTGGAAGTAAAACTTCATACTGCCACATTAATAGACTTGCCAAAACTCAGCCAAACATCATCTTACCTAAGTTTTCCACATTAATTTTCCTTAAGCAGAAGATACACTAGGGAAACATGCTGTCAACCCAAAGGCCAGAGGAGTAATCACCAAATAAAACTAGTCTTAGAATAGAGTGTGCCAAGCACCCACCTTAACTGACAATATCCGTAATGTGCTGAAGGCACTGATATTCAGAAAAGGACATGAGCTAAGCTGAGGAGCATTTTTCACATTGCATCTACCATGCCCTATCTGAGACGTGTGGCTCAAGGTGTTAATAATCTCTCTCCATTGCTGTGCACAGGGCAAGAAAACCACAGATGCAGTGTCTCCACCACCTAGTTTGAATTTTCACATAGGCAAGTCCACCAGTGTTTGCAAAGCCTTCATGTGAGCCTGTAAGGGATGACTCCACACCATCATTTACTGTTGTTTCATTACCCCTTTGCTCTAAAAGACACAGGAGCTTTAAGGCATTTTGTGCTCTTGTAGGGGTCCATCACTCCATAAGCCCCTTGTTACCATTGCACTTCATGAATTGCTGGCTAGCACTTGGGACAGAAGCGTTTCGCAAGGCAGGAGTGATCAGAAACTTTGCTTCCGTGCTGGAGGATACTGCTCCTACAGAAGGTCCAGCTGAACAGCATGCTCCTAATCTGCCTCAGCACAGCCAGACAACAACTGATAGAAGCATTTTGTGCTAGCTAAGGTGGTTTCGTACTGAATAGATAAGGAAGGACTTGCATGCTGTTTTGTCAGTTGAGTTGCAGACACAATAAAGTGGAAGTCAATAACAGCTCAGACAGACAGACACAGATCAAGGCAAGAACATAAGTTTCTGATGAAAGCAGGCATAGAAATTATTTCACCTGCTTTAATAATTCTCTGTACACCACTGAATGTTCCAATTACAATGATTTACAAGGGACAGCTGTATCCATACAGTTTTCCATTTAGGCACAGCTCTTCAATATACACAACACTCACATCATTACACACAATCACTAACAACAGTAAGTTTTCTTATACAGATGAACCCTTAGTACAAATCAGTTTGTTGTTTCCTATGATCATACATAGTCAGTACCAATGTCTATAGGTTAAAGTCCTCTAATAATTCCTATGGCAAGATCCTTCTCTCTATAGCTCATACATTTTGTCAAGCTCCCACCACCACAAGAGAGATTCTGTTTGAGACATGTTTTGAAAATTAAAGTCTTGGTAGCTGCAGTTGCAAATTGACTGGGCAGGCTATTGTTTTCCAAGCTCTGATAGCTTTGTATTTCTATGTGTGGCTCCCTATCACAGAACTGAGGTGCCTTTTGAAGGGAATATTAGAGCTTCCTTGCAATCCAAATGACAGTAAACATAAATATCTGAACCATCCAAATGAGAGTAAACATAAAAATTTTAAATAAAAAATTAACATATCTGTTAAAACATAGGTTTGGTGTTTTTTTAATTGGACTCTAGTCTCCAGCATGTTTTTTTGTTTGGATTGCATGATTTGTTTGGTTACATATTTATTTTACATGAGATAGGATATTTTTCTGTTAGAGTACATATCTGGTTATTCCTTCAGTGGTAAATTTAGCTCAGAAGTGGCATTATCTTTGCAACCATTCCTGTGCTAGTATATCCAGTATAAAACTGTATAAACCTTATCAGTAGATGACTCTTTACTATTACTTCTAGACACTTTTCAAGGATGAGAATTCCGTGAGTTCACCACACCATATGAAAATAATGTGAGGCTTGTCAGCTTGACACAGAAGCACAATAGATCTACATCTAAGATCTTTCCTCAGACCACAAGTGCCTAAGAGGTCATACCCCAAAATACACTGTCCCAGTGGACACTGTTCGTCATCTTACCTTGGGATGAGTTATCTTCTCTGAAACTCATGCCAGTGTCTTTATAGAATACTCTGCCTTATTTCAAGTGCACTCTGAATTTTGTTTATGAAAGATATAGGAGCTTACTAACACCATATTCAGAAGCAGAATTCTGTTCCCTTTTCATGGAGGATATTTATTTTAAAGGTTGCATTTGTCTGTTGTATCTCTCTGAGCTTTCTTGACTGGTAGTGGCAAAGTTTAAAGTTCATCAACATTTTAAATATTCATGTGTCACAATAAAAATATCTTTCCTACTTCTGGGAAAGCGGCAAATTTTAAAGTTCATCAACATTTTAAATGTCCATGTGTCATAATAAAAATATCTTCCCTACTTCTGGGAAAGTGACAAAGCCCTTAAAAATATTTCAGATATTAATTTGTTTTAAATTTAAAGAATGCATTGAATTAACATATCTCAAGCATTTAAAATAATCTCCACTATGGTTTAATTACAGCAGCAGCCTTTAACATTTAGAATCAAAACCTGTTCCTATTATTCAATAAATACTAGTATTTATTTGTTCCCTTTATGATCATCTTCAATAAAATATTTCCTATGAGACAAGCACTCTATGCTAAGATCACAGCTTAAAGATAGCCATTTACTGAAAACAGAGCAGATGCATCAGTTTTCTTGTACAGCTATACACATCCTATGAAATTCTGTGCTGAAGATGCCTTCTGTCTTTCACAAAGCCACTTCTTGGCTGAATATGTGCATGGAAAAGATACGAAAAGCCTATAGGAGCAACAAGGCTAGGAGATTTAATGCGAATAGGTCCTCAGTAAAACTATTCCTTCACTTCCAGTTCAGTGAAGGTACGTACCATAACCAATTAGTTATAATCTCTTCTGACCTATGACTTCAGTTTGGTCTGGGTAAAAAAGGTGAATAAAAAAAATAAGTCAGATTTTCAGCTGTCTGAACAGAATTCCAAGAAAAAAAAATAATCAGATCTTCTAGACTCCCCAAGGCATTTTACTTTATGGCTACTACAGGTAAGTTAGCTGCCATCATTACTGTAGTATCTGATGTGACCATGTTAGGAATCACAAGTGGATAAGCCAGGGCATCAGAAATTGGTTTAGTGCCTTATAAATTGCAGGTACAGCTTTAGGTATTTATTACTAGGAAACAAACGTATTATTTGGTAAATTTCAATAATTAAGCCTTAATACTTGACTGTACATAGAGCTATCACCAGTAGCAGCAGCAACCTGAGACTATACAGCAATCTGCATTCCACTTTCATTGCAATACCTTTTCACTAGCAGAATACTACCCTGGATTTTAAACTAGTTGATAACCCCATTTAGTACTGCTTTACCATAGCTAAAGATCTTAACACCGTTTTCTTCCATGTCCAGTTCATGCTGCTCATCTGTCAGTGTGCTCTGTTCAGTGCCTGAGCTATACTTGTTCTTAAGGGACCGTCCAATATATCTCCAGTATTTCTTTCGGATGATGTCTTTTTCTTTAGCCAGAATTTCACACAACTATGAAAGAAAATTGAGAGATTGGAGTGTTATACCAAAAGCTTAAAGAAACCTTAATTATCTTTATAAAATGCATCCAATATATGGTTCAGCCAGTGTTAGAAACACCTTAGCAACCTTTGCTTTATTTACCAGATTTGCAACTGTCCAATGACCTCAAACTGATGTCAACTCCAACTGGTAGTCAACCAGACACTACACAAATATCTCTCCAGTCCTATTTCAGTTATAACTGCTTCCCTGTGACTCCTTTCATGCCTACCACTCGTCATCTACCACAGCCTATTCAGCCTACAGTATACTTCTGACTTCCTGACAAGCTTGGTTGGCTTTTAGTGATGTGAACCATTTAATTCAACTCCTGACGGACTGACAGGAGATATTTTGTTTATGTTTTTTCTCTTAGCAGACTGTCCCAGAAGGACTCTCCATGCAAGTTAGTAACCTTTTCTCAAAACATGTTGGAGCTGGTGCTATATAGATACTCCTACATGTTATGATTTTTGTTTTATTTTGATCTGCGTGAACAGTGAGGCACAGCAGAAGTCAACTCTATTCACAGGACATTCTGTGTAAAATTTATATGGTATGAACACTGTCAATTCCCTTCTATTATGCAGATGACATTGCCTTATTCAGTGAACCAGAGTTGAGAAATAAGAGCTTCAATGCCTAAACAGATGAAGAAGACAAACTCAGTGAAGTAGTACAAAGGGACATGAATCTGGGAGGTATAATTGCACTTAATTACACTCTGGTCCTGCAACACAACAAAGGAAAAATGTTGAGAAAGAATGATGTCAGAACACAGAGACTCCAGGCAAGAACTGCAGCACTAATTACACTGAGTTCTAGTCTGTCCTGCAGTGAATGAAAAGTGTTCCTGTAAAAACCACACTGCAAATGACAGCAAGGAGTTCCCTGAATATGAAGCACAGGGAGATATACAACATTGCTAGAAGTAATTTATTCTCTGTAGGAAATGGTGCCTGACATTCCTTACTGATGTCCCCAGGGTCTGCTGACCTTTCAGCTAATTCTGCCAGCTTTCTTAGATAAGAACTGCAAAGGGCACTTGAGATTCTGTTTAGATACAGATCATTAATCTACAGAGAAGAAAGTGAGTTCATGCTACCAAGTTAGCACTGGAAACTTCTCTATCATTCATATATCTTTCTTCTGCTGGCAGTATTAAAAACCTTCCTTTACTACCAGGTGAAGAATACTTACAGTGGTTTTGTAACTGGCAAGTTATTATTATTTATAGATAAATTCATGAGACCCTTGTGATTATCCAGCTTTCTTGTTCACCTATTCAGTAGAGTTCCTGTGATTAACAAGTAACCTGTTCTATTTACGAAAATCAATACCATTTTGTTGGGACATAAACCAAGAGCAATATATGGCACTCCTGAGAAGCAAAACGAAGCTCTCAAAATGTACCTCCAATGCCTTGTTTAGTGTTTCTTCCTTGTTATCACACTGGTTTTCAAGCATATCTTCATATATGTCCACAAGAAAGGCAATTGGATAGGGTGAACTGTCGCTGAGCTGTAAATCCAACAGTCGCTCTAACAGATTTTGATACTTTGAAAGACCACGATCCTGTAGAATCCTAGAACAGAGGTTAATAGGCCTGAAACATAATGCTGGGAAAACTGATATGAAGAATTACATTTTTGTTATGACTCCTTTATTTGGAGATCAGTTTTGCAATAAGGGTGCAAATACAAGTTAAAGAAGAAAATAAGCAGCATGCAGCAATAATACAGCTTAATGTTGTAGTAAGCTAGTATAGTTATGCTTGAGTGAAATTAGACTGAAAGCATGCTCATTACTTCCTACTCTATGCTTCTGAACCCAGTAATATGACAGGTCAAGTTTTTAAAAGCATGAGAAATACTTGCAATCCTCCCACAAGAACTACAGGGCCAGAAACTCTGAGCAAAGTTACAGAGAATTAGGTTAGCATATTAACCCCTTGTGGAGATTTTTGCCTGCCTAAGCACATACAAGAATGAACAGCAACAAGCTCTTTCCAGTGAAGAGCTAGGCATAAGACACCTCCTACATATATTCTCTTTGCCCCGCAGACAAGGCTGTCTCACCCTTTTAAATAGTTCCAAGCGCTCTCATTATGTGGCACTGCTGTGATTATCTCAAGAGTGTAGCTGCAAAAAAAAGATAACAGGTCATGAATGCAACCACTAACAAGGCAGTTAGAAATTACCTGAATGTGCTCAGATGCTCCCAAATTCATCCCTCTAGTCTTTATTTCAGTCTTTTTGCAGATCACCTTGGCTGGGTCATAGATCAAAAATGTCTCACAATATAATCACTGCAGTTCTCAGAAAGGCAGACAATATGATCACTGTTTTAAATTCTGAGGTGTTCCATTTGCTGTACTTTATACAGTACTGCAACAGTTCTCAAAATCATGAGCAATAACACTAAGAAACGACATGACACACTCTCCCGGTATGCTAAAGGAGTAACTTGTGTCTTGATGCTCAGAAGTGGCAAGGGGCTGCCAAGGGCTGGAGTAATTGAAGCCCAGGGTGAGCTATGTTAATATGACTGCATGTGGTATGTTCTGTACCTATTTGCAGAACTTTTTTCGTGAGGGTGCACTTGACCAAACTCACAGAAAGGCAGAGCTTGAGCCTCCCGCTGACATGGCCCCCTGCAGCAGTTCCTTTAAAATAGCAGTCAGGCAACTCCTCTAAAAGCAAAGCAGTAAGAGGCACCTGCTGTACAGTCGAAAAGTCACATTTCTTCTTCATAAAACAAGACTTCACCTTCTGCCCTTACCCAGCATAACCAGGCATTCAGATCATTTTCAGAGACAGCAGATGCTGATAAAAAGTTCTATAAGCAGTACTGAAAAAAAGCAAAGCAAACCCTTAACCTTTTTTTAACCTGCAGTCACTATGACAAAGACTGAATTTATCAAGCAACAAGCAGCCCAACTATGGTTATATTATGACATCTGGGAAGTCTTAAGAAAGTCTCATTATTAGGATGGTATCCAGTTATCTTGAACATAGCACCGTGTACAAACACACCAAGGGAGGATGTTGGATCTAACCCCTGGAGAGAAAAAGCTGTAAATATCCAAGCCTAAGTCATGGAAATGGTTCAGATTTTCTAAACTGCATGATAGTTATAAATTGGAAGAGAAGCACAACTTACACTAGTGTGCAAAGACAACCATGAAAGGTGGGGGGGGGCTGGGATCCCCTATGAGCAATGTACCAATGGACCTATTAAGAGACTCAAGTCTTTCTTCTGAATACTAACTCCAAAAAGTTACATTACCTTCCTGCCATTGCTTCTTCACTTTAAACAAACATCTCATAACCATCAACCCTGATCAGCAGCCTGAGATGTGGAAAGCACACAAGGAAGCTTCCCTTACCATCACTAGTAAAATAAATGGCTAGAAGCCCAGTTTGTCTTCAGCTACAAACATAACACTTCAAAACAGTTTACAAAGCTCATTTTCCTCTGAACTAGTGAACTCACAAAGACAGTTGTCTTTGTGCTGACCACATATGCTTGAAAGCTCCTTTCTTTTTCCAGCTGCATCAAATCCCTCAATTCCTCTTCCTACAATCTAGGTCCACATTATCTTTAAATCACTGTGGCTAATGTACTACTAAAACAGCAGTTTAGTACAACACTGAGAGGGCCTCTCCTTCCCAGCTTTCCAGAGGTAGGATGTAAGATACTAATGGACAGTGCAACTTCTGTGGTTACAATGTTACAGGTCTTCTGCCGGTTGTTTCACTATAGCCAGTTGACTTTATAGGCTTTTTATAAAGTCAAAGTTTTGTTTGCACAATAAACAGCGGGGCAGGAAGACAGATTAATGAGAATAGCTTGCCCAGGGTAAGCATAATTTTCTTTAGTACTACCCAACAAGTCAGTGGTTCTCAACACATCTATACATCTACTAACACCTGATCTGCTATCTACGAGAGTGAGCCCAAAAACTGCATTAAAAACAGGAAAGACAAGCCCACAGGGACTGTCAATGTATTCCTTTGCCTTCACATCATGAGAATGCTTAATGTGAGCATCAACAGCATTACTAACTGGATTTCTTTGTTTAGGACTCCTGGATTATCATAGCCAGTGGTGTTGAAAATTACAAAGTGTCGCTGGTTCCAAACAGAGTTGTTTCTTGCATCTTCCCTCAAAAGCTGGTCTATGTATTCCAGTTCATTGTCCCATAATTTGAACTCCTATGAAAAGGGAAGAAAGAGAGAATATCACAATCAAGAATTTTTATTTTTTAAAATATGTTATCCTTGCTCCTAAGTTATCTGAACATTAGATACAGAGACTTTTTCAAAGCAATCAACACAAAGTTCAAAGTAAAATAAGGAAGGGTACACTAGGAACACGCTACACTATTCAGTTGCACACAATGGTATCAGCTCATCGTTAAACTCACACACGTAACAATAAGCAGCCAATGACAGAACTTTTGGAACTCCACTTCCTGAAAGGCAAACTTATAGCTAACCTCTACAACACATTAAAATGTAATTGTTTTTCCCCCTTTAGCCTTAAGATACAAAGAGCCAAATGCAATTCAGATTGTATTTAAGAAGCAAAATCCTACAACCTGAGCAGGTTATTTAGTGAATCAAGAGTTATGTGGATACAATACCTGAATAACCCATTGTCTGTGTTGCCATGCATGGTAATTTTTGGCATCTTGGTTAAGAATGTCAGCTGTGAACTCAAGCTCTTGGGATGGATCCTGCAGCCATTCCACCAACACCCGTCTGTGATGCCTAATGACAAAAGGAAGAAACTATGTTTAGAATAGTCTAAAAATTTTTGTGCACATGTGGTCTGTATTGTACTACTTAGGAAAAAAACACTAGTTAAATACTTCAAATTAAATATATCAGAACATTTTACTGGGCTCTGAGAAATATATGATGCATACTTACACTATAACAAATTCTATCTACACATGCACATTTGGCAATCATCTCCTTTTTAGACCAGTTATGTTTATTTGAAGTAACACTCATAGCCAAAGTCTTCAGCAGAATAAAATTTTCTAGTACTACATTGCGGGCGACGGAGGAACGACATGCTGAGACAGATTCAATGTGGGTGATAAAGCATCATGTATCGTGTATCTTTATTAGTCCAGGGTACATATATTTATACAGACAACGCTAATTATTATGCCTACTAGTCACTAGCTGATTGGCTTAAGCTCTAAAGGTCGTATTCACACGGTCCACCTACTTGCAGTTAGCTAACAGCACAAACTTCTCATAACACTAAGTTTCTCATGCCACTATTTCTAATTCCCCTTAACCTGTTTTCGACACACCACGGTACACAGGGCTGAAGCGTCCTTGACATTCCTCATGTATCAGCAGCTGCGAGCAGCTGCAGGCAAACCCTAGTGAGGCCCAGCATCAGCAAGGCAGCATCAGCCCCTAGAACAGGCTCTGATCGTACAACTGCTCGGTGGGCTCATGACCCTTGTCTCTGAGCCATTCTCCAACACTACATAATTTCTCTAGTAATAACAATGCTGCTGTTTTGCCTAATCCCATTCACTTGGGAAAAACCCAACAAGTAAGTAAACTCCAAAAGCCAATAAAAGAAAAATTACTAATTTCTATTTGTCTTTTTACTTGCCTTTTAATCAGTAATTTTTTTGATCTGTCAGACTTATTTTAACAGTTTAAAAATTGAAATTAAAAGAAAACAAGACCTTTTTAGCATGTCATAATCATGTTTAGAATGAACTGCTAAAGAGGACTTTGGCAGTGATACTCATGCAACTCCATTTAACTCCTCCACTACTGCAGTGGCAGTTTAAGATCAGTGATCACAACTTATTCCAGACAGTTTGCAAAACAAAAATTATCTGTACAAACATTAAGAACTGAAAAGAAAACATGATTTTACCAGACTTGGTAGTTCTTTGGCTGATCTTCAATGATAGCTGTAATATACTTAAGTTCCTCATGAAGATCCTTTCCCAAAGACTGCAGGAGGACTCTCCGGAAATGCCTGTATAAAAAAGTCAAGCATTCAAACATTGCAACAGGGCTTTCCTAAAATTCACAGAGAAGAACATAGAAGAACCTTTGTTCACCATTCTTCTAATAGATATTGAGTTAAAAAGAGTGCAAAAAACTAAACCATATATCCAGTTCTCTTATAGGCCATTAGATGTTCAAACAGTGGAGAATTGGAATACAACTACTTATTACATTATATTATCTAAGATGACAGCAACTGTGTTTCAAATTAACCTCTGTCTACCCACACTAGTCTTATTGTCACAGAAACTATTACTTACATGCTTAAAAGAATGTAAATTTTCTGATTTTATGCAAGTTAGTGGAATAAAGACATACAAGAGGTACTTGCAAGTAGCCACAAGTTAAAAGGCCCTAATCTGAATATCAGAAATTCACTGTTTATTCATTACCTAACTGAACATTAACCTGACAGATCTTCTAAAATGCACTATTTAGTAAGCATACAGTTATTTAGCAGGAAATGACAGCTATTGTGCTTTTATGCCTCTTGAAGTCAGCTGAGGGCATCTTCAGAATTTTGCCAAGGCTGTGTTATCAGGTAAGTGATCTAATTTTAAACAGAAAAGTTCTTTTTGTGGCTAATCCTGACCTTGATTGGTAACATCCTCAAAGACAAATGAATGAAAACCACTGAATCAAAATGAGACACAGAAAATACTGAACAAAGACTTTTTTCAGAAGCTCACGGGAAGTCTGCACTACTCCTCTATGTGAACTCAAGTAGTCATGCCCTGATTAGAGTAAAAAAATTATTAGAGATATAAGAGATCAGCAGTCAAATGACAACAGAGATAATCCCAAGATTATCACTCACCATACTGTGTAATTTGCAGCATTTAACTCAATGGCATCTGCTGTTAGGACGAAAGCTCTTTCGCTTCTCTCATCCCGCTGCAGAACAGCCCGAAAGTAATCATAGACATCCTGAACTAAACAAATAACAGCATCTTATCCAAGGCTATAAGACAGTGGCCTGATTAGGGGGTAAGGTTAACAATCCTTTCAAGTTACTTTCTATTTTGTGTAGTCTAACTATATCTCTTTAAAATGATAGCTACATATTGGTTTGTCAGCACTGATAATTTAAACCTCTAAATTATTAGTATACCGAAAAGCTGCAAAAGCATCTTAAAAATACACCACCTGAATAATATTTATACAATCAGAAAAGTTCCTTGCTGCTTACTCACACTATTTCCCAAGATGCAATAGCTTGCTATGTCTCTCTTCCACTTGTGGGCTAGAAATGCCTTATGTGAACCAGACTGTCTACTGTTATCACATCTTAAGCCACGTGATTTTAAAATAAAACCTTGACTATTAACATCTCAGTTGAAGATTCAGCTTCAGAAATGCTTGATGTAAACATCACATACAACCACCATAATACAATAAATATTACTTTCTTCACAGTACGATGCTACAAGATATGCTATCCAAAACGTGAAGTCTTGCTTTAGATAAGGTAAGGATGGATACAAACTTAACCACCTTAAGAATTCAGTGCAGAATATGATTAAAACTTACATTTTTCACTGTAGATGATCTGAACAACAGGATTTGGCCCATCATTTTGATGGACAGGTTCAATATCTGCCCATTCCTTCCTGTCCCTGTAAATAGATGTTTTTGTCTTTACAATCCCACAAAATGCTACTCAAACCATAACACGCCCAAATCTATGTCCAGCAACGCATCCCCGTTCACAGCGGTCGTTATTACTGTCACTACCTTACTGCCTGTAACACAGACCTTCATATAAACAACTAAACAAGGTATTGGCATACGTAACCGTGGTAAGACAACTTGGTGACGTAATCACGCCGCGCTCAGATCGCCACAGCCGCAATGCCGTGGTTTGAGCGCTGCGCGTCCCACGGCTCTTCCGTGACGCTGTCACCCCGCCTCCCCGGCCCCGGCCCCGGCCCCCCTCGCTCGCTCGCTCGCCCGCCCGCCCTCCCTCCCTTCCTCCCGTCTGGCCTGGCCTGGCCTGGCCTGGCCGCTCTGCCGCCCTCGCCCCCACAGCGCGGCCACTTCCGGCGTTGCGCGCTCAGCAGGTCCGCGCGTGACGCAACGGTCTGCACCGTCATTGTTCTTACGCCCGCGGCGGCGGGAGCTTTGCCCTTGCCCTTTCTGATGTTGCGCCGCCGCAGCCGAACCTGTAGAGTACGTAGCTGTCGTCCTCCCTCTCCTCCTTCTCTTCCAGCATCTGCCCGCAGCCGCCGTCCAGCTCGCCGTTGCCCGCCCACTCCTGTTGTAGCTCCGCCACCGCCGTCCCCTCCGCTTCCATCGCCCTTTTGATTCTAGAGCGTAGTGGGACCAGCGAGGCGGGTGCGGCGGCGGCGGCAGAGCGGCCGCTTAGCTCACCATCGCCTCCCTTGGCGGGGAGGTCAGAGGTTGTGTGTAGGGACCGAGTGAGGCGCCTTCCCCGGAGTCTGATAACCGGGTATCAGAGACGTACCGGGGGAGGCGGCGGGAGGTTGGGCTGGGGCCGGGGAACCTCTCCAGTTCTCTCTTCCCCATCCACCGTGCCCTAGGGAAGTCCTGCGGACCCAGCACGGTCTGTCAGCGCTGTGGCCATGTCCCTGTCCACACTTTACAGGGTAGCACTTAGCAGTTGTTTGGGTGGCTGGTATTTGCTGTGCTTTATGCTTGGTTTTCACTACTGTAGACTAAAATTGGAGACACAGAAAGCAAAGGGAGGCATTTCTCATGCCAGCAGTAGTGTATTTCCTGCAAGAACCCACTCTAGTACCAATAGAGAGGTTTTCAGGGACCATGGGACCAGTAGCACCAGACTGACACCAGGGGAATGAACAGGAAAACCAGGGCTCTGGGAAATGCTGCTGCAGCAGGTGAGGTGGAAAGTTAGAATGCTGCAAATAGCAGATCCTTGACATTACTGATTTTCTGGTGCTGTGGTGCTGTGGGCAAGGTGAGCTGTGTTCCGTCTCCTATGGCAACTCACAAAACGGCACCGTTTCAGAGTAGAACTTTCTGATAGCACAAGGCTGAAGAATCTGGTAAAAGATGGAATTAGAGGAGGCTTTGAAACAGCCAGTTGTAAGCAGTGGATGAAATGGGAGAAGGCAGGAGATCCTCTAAAGTGATGTTGGTCAGGAGGACGAAGTGACTGAGCTGATGGTGGTCATTAGGAAAATCAGCTGACCCAATGTTACAGGTGTGTAATCTGTCATTCTGAGATGCTTTAGAGAAGGGAGGGTTAAAGACAGGCGGAGGACGTGTAGTAAGGGCCATGCATACATCTGCTTGTGTGCTGTGTATTGAGGGAGGTGGGAAATAATTCTATATGCAATGGAAAAGGTTAAAGTATTCAGTTCTGGGGTGCTCAAGTTGAAAGGGCCCTAGGTGTGTCACATGTTTTACAATGATTTTACAGAAAGAGGAATGGTTCCAGAGCAACAATGAGGGAGTATAAATGCACAGCTGCAATCAAAACACAAGATCCAGGACAAGGAGGATTGTGCGTGTTTCTTCTGTCCCTGAGCAACTTTGTCTCCTTTGGAAGTTACTTGACTTATGTGCTTTCATTGCCTCTGCCTTTTTTGTGTCCTATTCTAATGGTGCACTTGGACTTCATTTGTTTCTGCTGGGATGTTCATACAGTGACTGGAATGCATAGTTTGGTTGGCACTTCTGGATATTACAGACAATAGTAATGTAATGATGGATGGAAAAAAGGACTATAAATAGAACAGAAGGGAAATGGAGAAAGACATACCTAGAGACAGAAGATATGCAGCAGTATCCAAGTGAAAGAAAAAAGTTGTAAAATGCAGAACATTCTGAAAAAAGAGAGGAAAAAAACAAGACAGGTCAAAAAAGGAGCTAGATATATTATAAACAGATCACAGGATCTGTGCACATATGAGTGGGAGAAACCTCAAAGGCAGTAAATCATGTTTTTGCGAAGAGATAGAGCAGAAAGGAAAGTGACTGTTCCTGACCTGCCAAGAGAGAAGTTACATTGTGAGTTCATTAAATACCAACAGCTTTCTATAGGCAGAGAGCGCTTCAGACACAGATCTTTATGAAATCTGGTTTATTAGCTTTGATGTTTGAACAACAATGGTTTTTTTGGTTGTGCTTCCTCCAGAACTAACACATAGTGACCTGCCATTGTCACTGCTTATGCTGGTGTCATCTTTATCAGCTATTTAACATGGATTACAGACAGGCCAGATTCTGCAATAGGATCTTATTTCCTCAGAGTGGCATAGCAAGACAAGGAACAGAAGTGAGCTCTGATGCCAGCCACTGGATGGAGCTGGTCCAAGAATATCTTGCTGATGGCATGGGACCAACAGCCGATAGGATAGCTAACCCACTGCCCTTAAGACTAGCTTCTGCATTTTTGGTCTGAACCTGTGGGTGTTGGGATCTGTGGACTGCTTCTAAAGGCTTAAGGGATGGTAACTGAGAAAAGAAGCCTGCTGCAGGAAGCTAAAGCATGATACAAACAAGTTGTGTCCTCATGAAAGCAACAGAATTCTGCAATGTAGGAGTCTGCCAGTTGAGGAAGCTTGAAAGCCATGAGTATAACTGAGTTTTAAAATGATGGACCGGACCAAAACGCAGTGGGATCACAGGAAATCCTTCCATTAACCGTACCTCTTCTGATTCATCTCCAACTGCGCAGTTGAATTTACCGAAGTACACACTTCTTGTGGCATGCTTTAGGCCTGCAAAAGCAGGAGGCTGTCTTAGCATGGATCTGCTTTACAAAATAATACTTAGAGGTTCTAGCTGTATGCCTCCTGGCTCAGAGTCAGTGGGGATCATTCATATTACAGGTCTAATATCTGTAACCATACTTAAAAGAGAATATTAAAACCGCACCTGAAGCTTCTACTTATAAATACGACTCCAGCAGCAGAAACCTTTTGGAAGAAGCAACAAATGGGATGAGAGCTGCAATGAAGATCTAAACAAAGAGTGGAGGATAAATCCTTTCCAGGATCCCCCTGGAAACTATGCTAGGGTATGACACTGTCCTGCACAACATCCTTGTGTCTAAATTGGAGAGGCATGGATTTGACGGATGGACCACTTGATGGATAAGGAATTGGCTGGATGATCACAATCAAAGAATTGTGGTCAGTGGCTCGATGTCTAAGTGGAGAGCAGTGATGAGTGGTGTTCCTCAGGGGTCAGTATTGGGACTGGTGCTATTTAACATCTTTGTCAGTGATAGCCAGTGATGGACAGTGGGATTGAGTGCACCCTCAGCAAGTTTGCCGATGACACCAAACTCTGTGGTGCTGTTGATATGCTGGAGGGAAGGGCTGCCATCCAGAGCGGCCTCGACAGGCTTGAGAGGTGAGCCCATGCAGACCTCGTGAAGTTCAGCAAGGCCAAGTGTAAGGTCACACATGTGAGTCAGGACAATCCCATGCACAGATACAGGCTGGATGATGACTAGATTGAGAGCAGCTCTGTGAAGAAGAACTTGGGGGGGTTAGTGGATGGAAAACTGACTGAGCCAGCAATGTGAGCTTGCAGCCCAGAAAGCCAACCGTATCCTAGGCTGCATCAAGAGAAGTACAGCCAGCAGATCAAGGGAGGTGATTTTCCCCCTCTGCTCTACTCTTGTTAGTCCCTATCTGGAATACTGTGTCTGGTTCTGGGGCCCACCATGTAAGAAGGACAGAGACCTTCTTGAGCAGGTCTGAAGGAGGACCACAAAGCTAATCAGGGGGCTGGAGCACCTCCCACATGAGGACAGGCTGAGAGGGCTGCACAGCCTGGAGAAGAGAAGGCTCTGGGTATTGGAAAATGGGTGAAGAAAAAATAATTGTATAGGGTACTGTGAGAACTTAAGCAATCAGTCGAACACCTGCAACGTGTCTGTTGCACAGAGGTCTTTGGGCTAGGCAAGCATGATAAACACCTCCTGGGAAATGTGTAAATTGGGAAACTCCTAATCAGAAGCCCCTGTCTTTTCTGAAAGGGGGAAATGTTGGGAAACTCTTTTACTAAACAATGGTTAGCCTTGAATTTAGCGAGGCCAATAAGTAATTAATGTGTATAGAGAAGATATCCTAACCTTAAGAATAGAAACATCCTATCAGGACAGCTCAGTCAAGGCTGATAAGGAAGACCAGCTTGGCCAGACAACAGAGTTGGGAAACATCCAAGGGGAAGGGGAAGAAATTCTCAGAAGACTCGTAACCATGAAAGAGAAAAAGGAGTGAGTGGGGTGCTAACTCCCCAAACAACCACTGATGACCACCCAAGACCCCTGCGCATGCGTAATGTAATTTTTCAATGCCAACTTTATGTAAATACAGAGAGGTGGATACTTCTCATAAAATACATGAATATTAATGTCTTTAAGGTATATAAAGAATGGACTTTTGTTTTAGGGCATGCACACTAGGTGGAGTGATCCCCTGTTGTCCTGGGTCTGAGTGAGTGATGCGTTTTTTTGGTAGCAGAGAAGGGGGCTACTGCAGTGGCCCCCTGTGAGAAGCTTCTCAAAGCTCCCCCAGCTCCAAGCAGGCCCCACCTCTGCACCAAGGCTGAGCCAATTAGCTGCGCCTCTGCGATAACGTATTTAAGAAGGGACGTGGTGAGGAGGAGTCAGACTTGTGAGGAGGAGCTGCGGCAGCTGCATGAACACCAACATCAGCGGAGGAACAGAGAAAGAAAGGAGGGGGGAGGTGTGCCAGAGCAGACACCCCCCTGTATCCTCTGGGGAGATGGCAGGGTGGCCCCACCCTAGCCACCCATGAAGGTCTGTGGTGGAGTAGGCAGTGATTTATGGCCTGTGAGGGGCCTCACAGAGCCAAGTAAGCCATCTGTGCCCGAAAGAGGCTGGAGCCTTGTGGGAAGAAGCAACCCCCACTGTTGTAGTTCAGCACTGGGAGGATTGCGGCATGCGGAGATGTCCAATGCTGGAGCAGCTTGGGAAGAGCTGCAGCCCATGGGAGGGACTCCAGTTGGAGAAAGCTGGTGTCCCATGCTGGAGCAGAGAGGGAAATGCTGTGGCCCATGGGAGAGACATTGGAGAAAGTTTGTGGAGGACTGTCTCCTGTGAGAGGGGAACCATGGTGGAGCAGGGGGAAAAAAAGTTCCAGAAGCTCTCCCCTTTCCCCCCCCCCCCCCCCCCCCCCCAAAGATGGAAGCAGCAGCAGCACTGACTGCACCCCCCATTCCCTGCTCCTGCGCCGCTGTGGGGAGGAGGTAGAGATATCGGGAGCAGAGCTGAGCCCGGGAATAAGGGAGGGGTGGGGGGAAGGTGTTCTCAAGATGTGGCAATGCTTCTTCCGTTACATGTTAGTGTCTGTAATAAATGTATGTTCTTTTTTTC